ATGTTAGAATGTTTAAATTTATATATTTGTTGTCCGTATTGTGAATTTAATAAATATAAATAATTTTTTTTAAATGATAACAGAAACTAAATTAAACGATATTTTGGAAATGTTAGAAATGGTTGCCATTTCTATCCGTTCACGTAAAAAAATTTATTATATGAATTACGTACCTATGGAGGTTGAAATGGAAAAAGTGTATAGGGAACAAATACAAGAACAGTTATACAAAAAAATGAATTGTGAATTAGTAGATGAATATAATTGGGGTACGTTGAAATCAACAAATAAAAGACAAGTGCCAATAAGAGTGTGTGCGTTTGTAATAATTTTAATTTTTTCTAAATTTAACATTACAAATGGAGACATTGAAACTGCCGATTTTTTTGAATTTTATAAATTTTTTCAAAATTATCAAGGCAAAGAAAAGTTTATTAATGAATTAAATGAAAAAATTGAAAACAACATGAGATGGTATCAAGAGAAACGAAGACTGACAGAATTAAAACTCAAAGACTTTATGAAAACTTTTAAAGATCGAAATTTACTGGATTGAATTTTACTTTATCGCAATTGTACAAAAAAGCTATAGCCTATAAAGAAACATGTGGAAATTGCAAAATTATAAAATATTTTGATCAACTTGAAAAACTTAAAGTTCCAGAATTAATCTGGACTAATTAAACTCAATTTTTTTATTATCAGTTAGCTGATAATTATGTTATTTTAATTTTGTTAAAAGTATTGTTGGAAAACTTTCCAGTTTATAGGAACAAAGAATTTTATGAATTTTAATATTTTTTAAAAACTACGATAAAAATCTAATTATTGAACAAATGAATGTTAAAGTATGCGGATATGTTTAAAAACTTTTTTATTGTTAAAAAATATTTTTTTGTAACTTTTTTGAGATGGAGTTAACAGAAACATTATTAAATGAATTAATGTGGGTTTTTAATGAAACATGTCTTAGAGAGAGGTTAACCTTGGAAAAGTTTCGTTATTATGTTTTATGTTTTGATGAACAAAGTTAGAACGACAACGATACAACAATCATTCAAAGAATTCAACATGATTAAAAATGTTTTGGAATACCTCATTTTGTGGTTTTAATAATTTTGCAATACATGTCACAACATTTACACGTATATTTAAACGAAGAGTTTAATAGATTCTATTATTTTTATCAAAATATACACAGAATAATAAAAAAACAATGGATTAAAAAAGTAAATTTAAAATTAGATTGTATTGAGGAAATGATTGAATTTTTGCATGAATGATTGTATTTTTTTTTTTAATTTTTTTTAGATTAGTAAATATGGATATTCAAAGAAAATATTCACAAGAAAACACATTTAAAAAAATAATAATTAAAAAACATAACGTTAACTTGAAATGTATCATTTATAGTTGATGATGTGGTTTGCAAAATATGCAATAATTTTATTTTACGGTTTATAAACACTTTTTTAATTTAATTAAAAAAAAATTTTTTTTTAGAAAATAAATTGAATTTGTCACCAAAACAAAAAATTGCTTTTCAATGGCTTGATGAAGGATTAAATTTTTTTATTACTGGTAGTGCTGGTTGTGGTAATAGTTATTTGCTTAATGCTTTAGCTTCTAGCGATCAACTCATAAAAAACATTAAAATTACAGCAAGTACTGGTAAAGCAGCTCATCAAATTAAAGGTATGACTATACATAGTTTTGCTGGTATGGAAGTTGGTACCAAACATTATTATAACCACATTACACTAGACGTTTTTGACAGATGGAGAAATACGCATGTTTTAGTTATTGATGAAATTTCGATGATTAACAAACAAACTTTTGATTTGTTGCATACTTTAGCGTGTAAATAATATCAATGTTACGATAAATTATTTAGGGGAACTCGAGTTATTGTTTGTGGTGATTTTTATCAATTGCCGCCTGTAAAAGGTGATAACGTTTTTAAATCAACAATATGGAAGCAATATATGCATAACGCTTTTGAGATAACTGAATGTTTTAGACAAAAGATCTTGAATTTTTTAACGCGTTAAATGAAATACGATTAGGAAAAGTAACAGATAAAACTGTCAATCTTTTAATGACCAGACATTTTGAAAATGACGTAAATATAAATTCGAAATACGTGCGTTTTTTTTTTAAATCAAGAAATGGCTTTTTATAATTTACATAAAATAAACGATATTCGATTGGAAGAAAAATGGTTTCATTCTAAAGATGTTATTAAAAATCCTAAAGTCAATCATATGTTTTAAATTTCTACTTGTATACTTTTGAAAGAAGGAGCTGTTGTCATGTTAGTAAAAAATGTAAACGTAGAAGAAGGGTTGTGTAACGGTACGATTAACGTAGTGACGTTTATTGAATCAAACGGTGTTTGGGTTTTGTATAAACGGTAAAGAGTTTAAAATTGAAAATATAAAGGAAGACATTTTAGATTGTACTGTACTCATTCCGTTATAGCTTCTAGATTTGGTTTACCTTTACAGTTAGCATTTTCTTTTATTGTACACAAAGCTCAAGGGTGTACATTAAACGAATCAGTTTTAAATTTTAATAGTAATGCGTTTGTTTCATTGCTTATTTATGTAGCGTTATCGCGAGTTTGTAATTTAAATGACATTTATATTACTCATAAAAATAAAAACGAATTAGGAAATGCATTAAAAAATATATTGATAGATAAAAATGTTGAACTCTTTTATAAAAATTGTATAAAAAAATAATTTTTTTAGCAACATAAATAAAATTCATTTTCAAGTTAAAATTGTTGAAGAAAAATTAGCAAACGAAGGTTATTATAGAGAAACGTTTTATTATGTAAAAGACAAATACAAAGATGAAGATGTTATAGAAGAAATTTAATTAAACGAGCAAGTGCAATCTCCCGACGAAATTGTTCATCATATCAACTTTTAAATAGGATATAATATTATATCTCTTTGTGCAAAGTCTACAGTCGACGGTTATTGTAAAATTATTAAACGTTGTTACAATTTACCTATTTATTATATTAAACCGCTAGAAGGAGCTGTTAATTTGCAATATATAAAAGACAACAATATTCGATCTGTTTTTAACATTTTAGAAAACAATAGCGGATGGAGAATAATTCGGCTATGTAGTTTTAAAGTAAAAACTTATCTAAACTTTCTCCTGATACCAGAATGAAAAAAAGACAAAAAAATTCTAAAAGGAACAAACAATATTATCAAAAAAAAAAAAGAATAACTTATCTCCTGAAGAATTAATGAAAAAAAGACAACAAAATTCTAAAAAGAATAAAAAGCATAAATAAAAAAAAAGATACATAATTTATCTCCTAAAGAGTTAATCAAAAAAAAACAACGAAATTCTCAAAAGAATAAAAAATATTATCAAAAAAAGATGAATAATTTAACTCCTGAAGAAAAATCAGAAAAGTTTAAAATATATTATCAAAAAAATAAAAGTAAAATATCATACAATAAAAGACAATACAAAGAAAAAAATCAATATGAATGGTTTGGTGAATGGTATAGACCTCATTCTTTAACCGGTTGGAAAAATCAAAAAAGTATTTCGTTTAAATTATTATCGTACGAACAAAAAAAAAATGTTTTTAGATTACAGCATACTGTTTGACGATGGTTTGTGTTTTTACTCTGCTTTTGTCATTTTGCTGCTTATACGAAAATGAAGCGTAAACACAAT